TGTAGATACTTGAATATTATTGGTACTCCTGAAGAGCTTACAAGGCAGTAGAATGTTTAAAGAAATAATTTGAGATGAAAGGCCTTGAAAAAATAAAGTTTTGTCTCAACGTGCAGATCTAACATTTATTCATTAATCAAATTATATGAAAAGGGTCCTGAAGTGATTTCACAAGGATAAAGCACATCCACTGAGTACCGTAATGGTTGTCCAATCACTTGATGTGAATAAGGACCCTTTCTGGTCTCAGGAGGATAACTAAGAACTTTTTAGTCGTAAAATACCATATCTTAATGCAATAGGTACACTAATATATCTTGTTAGCAATACCTGACTAGGTATAACGTTCCCTATAATTTTGTTAAGAAGATAAAGTTTTTATCAAAATCAAAGACATTAGAATGGAATTAAGCTTATATTTTGATACCTTCAGCGAATGATTGATATCCGATTGTTTTATTCAAAAGAATCTAGAGTACAACTAATTGGCTATGCAGATGTAGAAAATTTATCTGATCCACACAAATCTCGATCACAAATAGGCCATTTATTTACATGTGGTGATACTGCTATGTCTTGGCAATCTATAAAATAGATTATAGCTGCTACTTCTTCAAATCATGCAGAATTAATAGCAATTCATGAGATGAGTTGAGAATGTGTTTGGCTAAGGTCAATGACTCGACACATCCAAAGGACATGAGGTTTGTCCTTCAAGAAAGAAACTCTAAGAATATTGTATGAAGATAATACTGCATGCATAGCACAACTAAAAAGATCATTCATTAAAGGAGACAAAACAGAGCATATTTCACAAAGTACTTTTTCACATATGATCTTCAAAAGAATAGAGATATTGATGTTCAATAAATTTGTTCAAACGATAATTTTGCAGATTTATTCACTAAGGCATTATCGACTTTAACATTTGAGAAGCTACTGCACAAGATCAGAATGCATCGGTTGAGAGATCTTAAATGATGTTTTCAATAGGGAAGTTAATACAAGGAATTATATACTCCTTTCCCTTCACTAGGATTTTTTTCCCACTAGTTTTTTTTCCTAGTAAGATTTTAACAGTCATTGTAAAATGGACATGGAAGGGGGAGTGTTATGAATGGACGTCCATAAACAACACTAAGCTATCCCCATTAACTTTTAAAATTAGTTATATAGCCAAAGTATTTATGGTGCATAATACTATATTATGAGTTGAATGATGTATGGGAAAAAACACAACTTAGAATAGAAAATCTCTACCTATGTAAGCTCTCTAATTTCTCCTATCTGAAGTATTATTTAGGTCTTTTCTTAGAATATTTCACCGCGTTTTTGAACTTCTTGAAATTAAGACTAGATCCCTCAATTCTTATAAGTTGTTTGAAAATTAGTCCTTATATTATTAAAATTTCTATTAATATACCAATTCTTCTAATATACTTCAAATTAATTTCTCCAATCAAAAGTAATAGCCAAGATGTATGAATCTGAGACCTCTTGATAATTTCAATGATTTAAGGGGGCTACTTCAAAATATTAAAGATTTAAAGGGTTAAATATCAGAAGAACCTAAAAGAATAATTAATTCATAGCTAGCTCATGTATTTCCTCTTCATCTGGATTAAAGACATGACCTAGTTCAGAGGGTAAAATTAGAAGCGATCCTCCCAGCAGTGGCGGAGCCACCTTGAGCTTGCCCTGGGCAGCTGCCCAGGGCAAGAAAATGAAAAACGCATATGTAGGTACGAAAGGCTTGTCTCCCGATGTCATAGCTGCGGCCTCGAGAGCTTCGCCGATCGTGATCTTACTGACTATGGCTGCTCTAGGTGCTGCAGTTGATATAGGTGTTTAGCTATTCATCTAACTCTGCAGTTGTCTCCTCTACTTCCTTTTGTTGTACACAATCCTTTTATTTTTCGCCCAGGGCAAAAAATATTTCTGGTTACGCCACTGCCTCTTAGGGGATTTCTCCGATCCATGCAACATGAAAGGCCGTAATGCCATACTAGCAAGTCGATGAGCTACAAAATTCTCGTCTCGCTTAATATAATTTATATACATGATGTGGCTAAAGAACTTCTCTCCAATTATTTAGCCCCTCCCAACGATAATTTCTCCAATGCTGGATGCATGGCCCTCCCTTGGAATTGAACACTCCAAACACGTTCGAAACGTTAGTGTGGGCTGAGATGACGGAAAATACCAAGATGTTGAGCAAACTTTAACCCCTCGTGCTCCACTGATATATTGGCACCGACTTAACCAATTAATGGATTTCTGATTCATCCCACTTCGATCTCTAGAAAACACGAAGGGAAAGTGAAAATAGTTAATTCCAACGATCTGTGATGCTTTCTTCTTGCGTTCATTTCAATTTAAAAACTCAAACAACTAGCTAGTATTGTGTGTTTTCAAAATTGCAAGTTGGGGTAAGGAGTAACCTAACTATATCACTTTGTTAATTTATTGGAAATATTTCTTCATTGTCCCCCCACCCTTATTAAATTTTGGTTTGTGAACGAACCCCTGTCCGAAAACATTCATTATTCAAGTCATTGCTCCTCTACTCTCATATGAGTTTTTTTTTTTTTTCTAGACTCAAACACGTTGCGTGATGAGTCTTTAATTTCATTTTGGTTTGATCTATTGATTTTGTAAGAAAAAAGTAGACTGTTTTATGATATAAATTAAAGTTGTTTTCTATAACAATATAACCTGTTTTGTATGAAACCTTGTCGTAAACTTTGGAGAAAAACTTCTTACTTCGCTAGTAAAACATCAAACTCAAAAGAGTGAGGTCAACGGAATTTATCTTTACATGTTATTCATTTATTTATTTATTTTGTTGAAATCTCCTATGTTCTGTTTTGCTTTTGTGGATTCTCTCCCATCTTCATCTCTCAATACATATCTTTGGTAGGCTCTTTCCAAACACAGGGAATTCATTGTATATGGAATATTGTGGGCTAGCATCTAGCAAAGTGATAGATATCTGCCTTTTCCGTCTTTTGGGAGATGCCATTGGTTAATATATAAGATTGCTAAGTAAACGGTGTAGATTAGACTAAATTATTATTATTATTATTTTCTGCCTATAGTTGATTTGATTGTAGCCAAGATGATGGACATAAATATTCCATCATTAGCCTTGCTAGGTTTTCAATGTCTTAGTCAAGAGGGCTCTTTAACCTCTCATTATGGCAACTTATCAGTTTCATGCATGTTGGATCTTTGGCCTGGAAATTTCTGTATCATTGCTCTGGATCAGGAGTTTTATGCCATGTTCCACTTAACAAAGATAACTTTTAATAAAAGCTACACGTTCAAATAAAGACAAAGAGAGGAAGAAAATCTAAACTTGAACCTGAACACATTTGCAAAACAAAGGTGTCACTTTTCTGTATCATTGCTCATTGTATATTTTTTTTGCATGTTATTTCCAACCACAGCATTTTTGTATTTCTCCGATTAGGAGCAGATTATTAAAAAAAATACAGTACTAGATCATGGCACTTGGCCTTCTTGGATACTAGAAATCATTGCACTCGACATAAGCTCAAATATTGACAACAATGACACTTAGGGGAGGTTTAGTTGGATGGAAATAGAGTACTTGCAAAAGGAAGTGGGACAACATGATTTATAAATATATTATTTGGTTTGCGATTTTGCAATTCTTTTAGAAGAAAAACTTGCAAAAAATGCTACGGCAATTTGGTGGGAGGAAAAACTGCAATCATTAAAAAATAAAATTAAAAAACATAATTCCATTTCATCAAAATATATCATTTTAAATCCAAACGAAATACCATATACACATCCCTTATATGGTAAAATTATGTAGCTTTTGAATTAATTGCTCTTCAACCTAACACTCCATTTGCATTGGAAATACGTTCCCTATAATAAAATGCAGATATCAAAACAGTAAATTTGAAGTTGATTTCCTGCAACAAATGATGCATGCAACATTTGCTGCTGCAACATTTTTTGCAAGGATAAAATTTTAAAACAGTCCTATTTCCTAATTTATTCCCAAAAATTTCGATTCATTTCACTTTTATTAAGGGGCTGTTTGGTTGTTGTTGGTAAAGTTGTGTATTTATGACACAACTTGGAAAGTTGTTGTCCACCTCATCAATTTCACTTTTATACTTTTCATTGTTTGTTTTTGATTCCATTGGAATCATAAAACACTTGTTTGGTTTGCAAAATGAAACTTTAATTGTTTGTTTGGAAAGTGTAAAAAGTTGTTCCTACTCAAATGATCATATTGGTTGGAATTATTTTTTATTATTTTTTCCTAACTTTAATGTTAGCTTTCTCCTAAAATCATGTCTTTTTTTCATGAAATCACTTTACAAGCCACATCAGCATATGAAATCACTTTACACTATTTCCACAACTACAAACAAACAATTGAAAGTGATGAAAGCTGACATTGGGACCCACTTTTTTACACTTTACATCCTTTTACATGGTAAAAACATACAACCAAACAGCCCCTAAGTGAAATTGACTCAGTTTCTGGCCACATCAGCATCATGGCTAGAAATCGAGTCATTAAAAAAACGAACTCCTTATTAGTCGGGGTTGGCAACCCCGGCTAATTAGAAACAGTTCTAAACACCAGCGTGATTAGCAATTCAAACCCCGACCAAAATGGTTGGGGTTGCCAACCGCAACCATGCCAAAAAATGTCCATCCCAATTTTTGGCAAAGACTTCCGTCGAGGTCTTGAGCACATATTGTAGTGGTCTAATTAGTTGGGATTGCCAACCCCGACTAATTAAGCAATATATTTTTTTTAAATCGACCTAGTTTCTAGCCACGAATCTGAAGTGACAAAAACTGGATCGATTTCACTAATAAAAAAGAGATTGGGTCAATTTTTAATTATGATAAAATGTGAGAGTGGGTCTATATTGAAAATTTTTCCTTTTTTTCAATTTATTTTTGTAGCAAACCAAGCAGCCCCTTAATCTAGAAAAAGTTCCACGTAAATGTTGCTTCAACAATGCAGTTCCTGCTTTGGGATGCCAAACAAATAATTCACTCCTTTTCTCAGTATTTTCTGAACTTCCAGATCAAAATAATACAGGGCAGGCTACGAAAAAACAGAGGCAAATCATGACGCCTAATAAAAGTGTGAAGCTGTTTCCAGTGTGAAACAAAAGGCCATTTGTGTATTTTCAATATCTCCCACATCCTAAATTCCTCCAGAAGAGCCAACTAGCCTTCAAAATATTAAAAAACATTGAAAAAGCAAAGAAGAGGAATCAGATGAGCCAACCACTTTCAGAGTACTGCTAAAGAACCTTAGCCTGAAGAAGTGGGGAGTGACGAAGCTTGAAAAACAAATATTACTAATGTACTCCCCTTGTCTACCACCTTCTTCTTTGATTCCTACATTAGCTTCATCATTGAAAAAACTCGAGACGGTGGAGGAGCGAAAATGACGCCGATAATAATGAAGCACCTGAAGAAATTCTACACCATTTTCCTCCCTATAGTTAGATCGTCCTCCCGTAATGACCAGAGAAGAACTGCTAACGGAGGAGGAGATGAAGAAGGCTTCAGCTACCCCACTACGCGATGCCTTTCTTCTTACTACAGCATCTTCGTTGCTCGCCTCGCCATCATGGTTTGAACTTCTCTCTGCCGTTTGTTTTGGCTCCCGTTGAGTGAAGAAGTTAAGATTATTTCCTCAAATTCACGGAACACAATCAGTTATATCACCCATACTTAATTTCCAGAGAAAAAGCGCTTGTCCTTCAAAGTTAGCATGCAAGATTTAGTCCGTACTGCTAAAAGATCCAGAACTAACGAAAGCACGAAAAAAAGGATAAGGCCATAGTATATATAGAATGCATAAGTTAATACAACTAAATTTGACAATGGAATTTGAATGTCTGTCATCTTTTAGCTTCGAAGTTTTCCTAATCTTCGTTGCAATCGTTGCTATGCATGGGTTTAGAAATAATTCAAATTATTGGCTAGCTCAGGTTTGGACCAGCGAAATGGTCTATGTTTGCGTGTAGATGGTAAGTTGACTTTGGAAGCATCTGAAACCGAATATCTAAAAAAGTTAAACATTTATTGCCAAAATTCTCTCTCTAGTTTTTCCAGTGTCCAACCAAACTTATCGTTTTACGATATATACACAATTTTTTAATGAAAACTATACATAGACTTTATTATTCTAACTCCTCCTATGTTTTCTTTTTGTGATTAATATTATATTGATGAAGTTGGAGATATCATGGATATGAAATAAGATCTGGGTCTTACACCGAAATTTATGTTCTACACAATGAGTTTAAATTTCTGAGCATAACCTTAAAATAGGACACATCAGCTGATTTATCATTTTCAAGTAGCATTTAAAAAACAACCAATTGAAGGAAGAATGAGAGTAAAACTAGAATAAACTTAAATGCATAAGAGCTCTTATCCACCAATTTTTTTAGCTAGCATTTGCATTTAAAATAATAGTATATACCTACCTCATAACAAAGCTTATATATGCCACCCCCTAAGTTTGATTTGTAAGGCATCCATGTAGCAAAGGAAAACAAAGAGAGAAATAAAGGGGGGAAATAGTGAGTAGTTGTAAAAGAGTGCAGTAGTGAGAATGTTTGTATTGGAGAGTATAGAGGATTGTACTACTAGAGAAATAATAATAAAATATTTTTTTGTCAACTACTCTTCTCAAGTGGTATCACCTAGCTTAAAGTGCGTGTATCTACTTATTATATGCTATGTAGCTGCCACCAAAGGTGGATCCTCCACATTAGAAAATAAGTTAGATTAACATTTACCATTTGAAGGCATTGGGCACTATTTACAAGATGACACTGTTCATAAGTACGATTACTATTCATAAATACAAAAACTGTTTATAAGTACGGTTATTGTTCACGTGAAATAGTAGAAGTTGCAACTCGTGATTGAAGCAAGGCGGTCATGGATCAACTCTCTCCTACAATGATCCTATTGGTATTTTTGAAGGCCGAAGTTCGTGCTCAGTCCGGGACTGTGAAGTTGGTTGGTTAGGAACCAGACTTGCGTGGAAATATTAAAGCAGTACCACGTCACGATGGCGGATCTTGCAAGTACTACTACTACACTCAAGAAACTCAACAGTAATAACTATAACTACTGGGAGACGTGTATGAAGTCCTATTTACAAGGACAAGACCTCTGGGCGGTCATCGAGAGTGCTGAAACTATAGCACATCGGGATGTTGGCGAAGCACTAAGGAAGTTGAACATTAAAGCCAGCAAGACAATGTATATGCTGAAGACAACAGTAGAAGAAGATCTCGTAGACTATATGCGAGATGCTAGAACTCCGAAGGAGGCATGGGATACATTTGTGATACTCTTTTTGAAAAAGAACGATGCTCAATTTTAACTTTTAGAGAATCAATTGATGATCTTGCAACAGAAAGATCTGACAATCAGTCAGTACTTCAAGTAAGTAAAATCACCCTGCTCAGATATCACTCAACTAGATCCAAATTCTAAAGTGTCTGATGCAAGGATGGGAAGAATAATTATCCACAATTTGAGACCGGAATATCACGGACTCGTTGCTGCTACACATGGTTGGCCGACTCAACCAACATTATTAGAGTTGGAGAGTTTGCTTACTACACAGGAAATCCTAGCTAAACAAATGGCGGACGTGTAAATAAAAAGCGAAGATGAAGCACATTTCAGCAGCAAGGATAGAGGCAAGCCAAGAGGCACAAGGAAACATGAGTATGGTAAGTCTGGTTCAAGGAGGCAGCTAGGACGACCATACACCAACAGAACACAACAGTGTGAGGAGCAATGTGATTGTCGAGAAAGGAGACCTGACAGTAACTGCTACAACTGTGGGAAGAAAGGACACTTTGCCAGAGACTGCCACTACAAGAGAAGACCTACAAAGGGCAATGCTACAACATCGCATAAATGTCAAGATGATAAAGAAGAATGAGATGCCCAAGCATCCGTGACCATCATTGAAGATGTACCAGTCGATGAAGACGAGGTTGTTGGTATAGCACTAACCTCGATTGTAGAAGAATCGGAGTCCGCATTTGTAACAATTTCAGATTGGGAAGAAATCAGCTATAATAAAGATTGGATCGTCGATTCTGCTTGTTCCAACCATATGACGGGAGATAAGGGGATGCTTGTCAACATGAAGGACTATAAAGGCGGCCGAGAAGTTGTGATAGCGAATAATTCAAGATTACCTATCACACAAGTTAGAAATACTACGTTTACGCCGCGCTACAACCCGAATTAAATATTCAAGATTACCTATCACACACGTTAGAAAGACTGCATTTACGCCGCGCTATAACCCGAATTAAATACAACTACAAGATGTGTACCGTGTACCGGGTATGAAAAAGAACCTTCTATCTGTTTCTCAATTAACAACATCTGGAAACTATGTAGTATTTGGGCCACAAGATGTAAAAGTCTATCGAAACTTGAAGCCACTAGGAGAAACTGTCATGGAGGGACGGAAGGTAGAATCTATCTATGTGATGTCGACGGAATCGGCATACATAGATAAATCTAGAAAAGAATGAGTTGTCTGATCTGTGGCATACTTAGCTTGGCCATGTGAGGTATCATAAGCTCAAGATTATGATGGAAAAGTCAATGTTGAAAGGTCTTCCACACTTGGAGATACGAGGAGGGACCATTTGCGGAGGTTGTCAGTATGGTAAAGCACATCAATTACCATACCTGGAGTCACAATTCAAAGCAAGGAACCTTTGGAGTTAATGCACTCAGATGTAATCGGCCGAGTGATGCAGGAATCATAGTGGAGTGCAGTATATGATCACCTTTATCGATGATTATTCGAGATATGTCTGCGTTTATTTTCTAAAGGAAAAGTCTAAAACACACTCCAAATTCAAGCAATTCCGAGAAGAAGTCGAAGGAGAACTCGGCAAGAAAATTCAATGCCTACGCACAGACAACCGGGGAGATTACACATTGAAGGAGTTTTACAACTACCTAAAACAACACAAGATTCGGTGGCAACTAACATATGCCCAAATATTCCTCAGCAGAATGGCGTAGCTGAAAGAAAGAATTGTCATCTCGCCGAAATTTATAAAAGCATGCTTCATGCCAAGAACGTGGCAGGACGTTTTTTGGTTGAGTGTATGAAGACTGTGACGCATGTGATCAATCAGCTATCACAACCAAAATTGGAGTTCATATCACCATTTCAGAAGTTGTGGAATATCAACCCAACCGTAAGACATTTTAGAGTTTCCGGTTGCGTATGTTATATTTTCGTGTCTGGTCACATTCACAGCAAGTTCAACAAAAAGGCCGTAAGGTGTATTTTTGTAGGGTATAATAGTAAAAGAAAAGAATGGAGATGATGTGATCCCACAACCGAACGATGTTATACATCAATGAATGTTGTATTTGATAAAGCCTCATCTTGGTGGGCTTCACAAGAAGTTGCGCTACTAGATTCTAAAGATCTGGAGGATCGGCTACAAGAGAAGTTCGGGAGCGAAGTCAAGAAGAGAAAACTTACGTCAATTAGAGAAGACAGAATCAAGCTCTTCAACATCATCAAAGGAGAATAATCCATGGAAGACTAGTGTTTATCAGACAACTTCAGAAGAAATGCGCCCGAGCCAGATAGAGGATATCAAAGAAGAACCAGTTGAACAACTTCGAAGATCAACGAGACTCAGAAAGTCGAATCCTAAGTATGCTAATGTTGGCATTATGGAAGATGTGAAGGAGCCATCTAGCTTCGAGGAAGCATGCGAAATTGCGGAATGGAGACGAGCAATGGAGGAAAAAAATCAAGCTCTACAACAGAACTAAACTTGGGAGTTGGTGCCAAAGCCCAAAGATGTCAAACCTATCTCATGCAAATGGGTTTACAGAGTCAAAACTCGACCGGATGAGTCGATTGAGAGATACAAAGCACGCTTGGTTGCTCGAGGGTTCTCTCAACAGTATGGACTGGATTATGATGAAAAGTAAGGTAACAACAGTTCGAGTTCTTCGAGCTCTAGCAGCTAGTGAGAAGTGGAAGCTTTGGCAGATGGACCTGAAGAACACATTTCTACACAATGAGGTGGATCGAGAGATTTACATGGAGCAACCCATCGGATTTGAGAGCAAGGAGAAGGAAAGATGTGTTTGCAAACTAAAGAAAGCTCTTTACGGATGAAACAAGCTCCGAGATCTTGGTATGGTAAGATTGGTGAGTTTTTAATTCAAAGTGGATACTTTCTTACTCCTGCAGACTCTAGTTTATTTGTCAAACATATTGGAAATAGGCTGGCAATCATGTTGATCTATGTGGATGACTTAATCCTAACTGGAGACGATGAAGCGAAAATCCAGAGAACGAGGACAAATCTCTCGGTCAGGTTTTAAATGAAGGAGCTTGGGGAGCTCAAACATTTCCTCAGATTGGAGGTTGACCAAAGGAAGGATGAACTATTCCTTTGCCAAGAAAAATATGTGAAGGACATGCTGCTCAAGTACGAGATGTTCAACTGCAAGTCAACCTCAACACCGATGGAGACAAGTCTGAGACCGTGTGCACATGAAGGAAAATATTTGGAAGATCCAACTATGTATCGACAACTAGTTGAAAGCTTGATCTATCTAACGATGACAAGGCCAGATATTTCATTTTCGGTTGGTGTGATGAGCCGATACATGCATAAGCCAAAGAAGTCTCACATAGAAGTAATCCGAAGGATCCTAAGGTACATCAAAGGTACAAGTAACTACGGTCTCATGTACAAGAAAGGAGAAGAATGTGAGGTCTATGGCTATTGTGATACTAACTATGCTGGAGATCATGATACTCAAAGGTCTACTACTGGGTATGTGTTTAGTCTCGGTTCAACAGCTATATCTTGGTGTAGCAAAAGACAGTCAACGGTGTCACTGTCAACTACAGAGGCAATGTACAGATCTGCAGCGATGACAGCTCAGGAAAGCACATGGCTTTTTCAGTTAATGAGAGATCTATATCAATCCACAGCCTACTCGGTAGCTTTACATTGCAATAATCACTCTGCAATATGATTGGCAGATAATTCAGTTTTTCATGCTAGGACGAAGCTCATCGAAGTACATCATCACTTTCTTCGAGAGAAAGTTCTTCAGGAAGAGATCGTAATGAAGCCAACCGAGACAAATGAACAAATAGCTGACATATTCACCAAAGCACTGAGTACTTCAAAGTTTACAGAATTTCAAAGTCAGCTTGGACTCGTGGATAGAGAAGTCGCTGCTGAGGGGGAGTGTTGAAGTCAGCAGCTTATCTACCCCCACCTAACCATTACTACAGTAATTGAAAACCCCCTAACCATATATACCTACCTCATAACAAAGCTTATATATACCCTCTTAAGTTTGATTTGTAAGGCATCCATGTAGCAAAGGAAAACAAAGAGAGAAATAAAAAAAAATAGCAAGTGTTCGTAAAAGAGTGCAGCAGTATGTAATAGAACGAGTGTTTGTATTGGAGATTATAAAGGATTGTACTACTAGAGAAATAATAATAAAATATTTATTAGTGTCCACTACTATTCTCAACTCTACATTTGCGGCACAAATCTCAAAGCAAAATCAAAGGATTAAGATAAGAGCTCCTATCCACTTAAGCCTACAAGAGCTCTACTCAGAAAAGTGAAACAACAAATTCCCGTTGAATCCAATACGTTAACGAGTGTCTCACGATCTATAGAACCTATCCCAATGAATCTTTGGAGTGTTGAGTTGGTAGTGAACGAAAGAGAGCATGTAAAAGAAGCCATCGTCGTTTAACAATTGCCCTCCGTACGTTATGTGTCTGTGCACTAATGCTTTACAGATGCTTAAAACTTTGTGCAGATCATGCTGGCAATTTTAATTGGGATGCTGACCATACTCACCTGGCATTTTACAAGGGTATATACAACGAACTCCATAAACAGCTTGGCATATGGACTCCGTTACGAGCTCCTGCAGCGACCCATACTAAGAATGTGGAATATATTAAATTCCACAGTTGAAATCACGATGGCACAAGTTAAGCTTTCTGAATATGTAATCAATCGCTATGACATTCCTGTGACTCACAAGGAGCAAATGGAGGTCAAACTCTTTCTCGTCGTCTTAATTTAGCTTTCCTATACAGTACCCACAGGGACAAAGAACTTACATTTGGTTGTATTTCGATTCTCGGCAGCTGTATCAAATGATGAGGGACATAACATGGGCACTTTTCGCAAGCAGAACAGCTCTCAACTCCATCACCATAAGTTACAGGAACGGTTTTGTCCAGGCATTTCATAGAGACTCCAGGAGTGGCATTACATTCTACATCTATTCTGAACTGCTGGTCTCAAGGAACATAAGCAAGGATCAACAAGGACGAGTCCCTCTTGACCAGCTTCCGATATCTAAAGATGGAAACTTTTCATCCATATGGTACAGAGAACCACTGAATCCCATCACGGGGGAGAAGATAGGTAACCGAAGGGAAATACCGCCAGATGACCTGATCAACATCGCGGGGCTCCCAGAAGTAAAGGATGGAGCAGCATCTTGGCGTATCGCCGTTAATAAGTTTACAGACTCACCACTGCTTTCAGCAGCATTGCCGGTGAGACATCCTGCTAGAGGGAGCATTGTGGCAGCTGTTGGGGTCACCACAGCACTTAAAAGTGTAGGTCAGCTGATGAAAGAACTGGTTGGCTTCCACAGTGGGTACATGTATTTAACTACTAGAGAGGGTTATGTACTTGCCACGTCAACTGATGCTCCGTTACTTAGAAACACAACAACTGGCCTGAAGCTCGTGATGGCTAATGATTCAGATGATCCTATTATACGATCAGGAGCGGAGTGGCTGCAGGGGGCCTATGGCAATCAGTTCCCCATCAATCATGAGATTCATGATGACAATATCATCCTGGGAAAGAGACGATTTTATATCGACTCATTTTTCCTAAATTTGAAGAGGCTTCCCTTGGTATGCCATACCTTTTTTTTGCCATGACAAATCAAACGTTTTCAATTTATTCAATAGGAAAATGCTTCTATGGTTCAAACTGAATTTATTTGAAATCATTTTGCAACCAGTACGCAATGACATGACACAAACCATTCTAGTGAGGAATTCATCAAACACAGAGTTAAAATTTGCATTGTGAATATTCTTTTACTTTATTTGTCGGATTTGTCGATAGCAGTTAAATTTGCCTTGTGAATCAAGATTCTTTTATTGTATTGCAAGCCACTCATAAAACATGTAATCCCTCATTACCATATTTTGCAAGGACGCTACACACGTACACGCAGGAATGATATTCTAAGACATCTAACCAATGAATGAGAATCCACCACCTCAAGAGCTAGTAACCAAATTGTTAAAATTTGGATTCTGCGGATGACTGTTCTAAAACAACATAGCTTTTCAACAAGTAATCTAATAGGAAGCTAAAAAGATAGCAGTATTTTACTTGGTTTATCAAGATCACAACCAAAAAGTGGTGCATGAATAAGAATAAGACAAATACACAAAATCAGTGTCAAATCTGAGATTTCTGCCTCAAGATGATGACCAACATGAAATTGTCAGGCACAATGATCTCAACATAATGTGCAATATTGATGCTGATACAGCCTGCATGAAATGATTCATTTCCATGTTGTACTTTTGCATTTATTCACGTTGTACTTTTGCATTTATTCACAGTTTTATGTGCTCATAAACAATATGCATAAAGCTATGAACATAGCGAGAAATGAGAAGAGATAAGACACGTACATCCTGTACATTTCTGTAGTAGCCGTGAGATTAGTCAAATCTTCTTCTTCTTCTTCTTCTTTTTAAACACCAAACACTGTCTCCACACAATCTCTTATGCTACAGGCTTCCTGCAGGTGGGCGTAATCATCATTCCAAGGAAATATATAATGGGAAAGGTTGATGATATAGCTTTCACAACATTGGTTATACTGATATCATTATCCATGTGCATTTTAGCTATTGGCTGTGTCTGCATTTTCATATTGACAAGTGGTGTCTCAAAGGCAATGAATCTGAGAGCAGAACTGATAAGTCATTTAGACGCAAGAAGACGAGCAGAGGCATCAAGCAACTACAAGAGCCAATTTCTAGCAAATATGAGGTACCCTCAAGAGATGTTTCGTACATGTTCTCGTAGTTTTACATAAGATTCATTTCACACAGAAATATATGGGTAAATCTGGAAAACAACATGCACCATGAAGTAAAATAGCTTAAATATTATCTAGAATGCATTGTCACAACATATCAACGGAGTAGCTATTGCTTCATTGGGCATACACTTCGCCCGTTGTCAGTTACAGTTACCCTGTCAAACACGACCTAGACTATGATTTGGATTCTAAATACTTTTAAAAAACAATGCATGATAAGGATGTTTTCACATTTATAACCTCAAGTCAACAAGTATTATACTTTAAAGTTCCAAGTATACCTCGAGATAGCGCAACTTCACAGTCAATCTGAAAATGCCATTACTTATTAGATAAAATAGTGATTCACGTGCTTTGTTGAATAGAGATTCATCAGAAACAGAAAGTTGGATGTAATCTAACATGAGTTTTGTAGCAAAATGCTTCTTCTATTTCCTTGAGTCTGGTAGGCTGTATACCAAGGTTTGGGTACAAGTTTAAATTGATCTTCAATTATCTTCTACCCATATTTATTTCTAGAATAGGGAAGATTAATCCTCCCTATTGATCAAATTTCATTTCCCCGTTCATGTGTTATTTTCTCCTTTTCTGTATGGGGTGCTCAAGATGCTGTTCAGGGTACATTTTTATAGTTTCTAACCCATCATGTCTATTTACGTTCTGCGCTTACGCCTTTAAGTACTCAGTACTTGCAACTTTCTTTTTTTTTTTTGTGAAGAATTTTGTAAAACCACTTTTAAACCATGCTCAATTAGCCATACGCTGATTGGTCAAGAAAATACCCCGCAAGTCATTCCTACTTTCCAACAACTACCCAATATATCACTTCAACTTAAAATTAACTTAACATTCTTTACTCTCTTTTTTTCCAGTCACGAGTTGCGGACACCGATGGCAGCAGTAATAGGTTTACTAGACATTCTTATGTATGACAACTGCCTAACAAATGAGCAGCTCTCTACAATCACACAAATCCGCAAATGTTCAACAGCATTGCTTCGGCTACTCAACAATATCTTGGACCTTAGTAAGGTAAGGTTGATAAAAATTTACAGCCGAACACTAACGTTTTCATAGTAAAGGTTGATTGTTCACTAGTATAACTGCCGTGCTTGTCTTATCCATTCTGATAAAGAAATAGGGACATTCTTAAAACTAGGATGATTAGATTTTGACTACCTATATTTAACCTCATGGGACCAATGCACCTCAGCTCTCTCAAACAGATAACTATTGCTGCATAATGGCCAGAAGATAACACAAATGCATAGCCACAGAAAAGCAATTATAGTTAATAGATAAAGAGTATACATCCTGCTCTAGCTTTTCAAAACATATATCTGCAATGGAAGCACCAAAAGAAGCATTAACAACAAAGAAATGTTTAACCAAATATTAAAATGCCTGAATGCCCGCATGTATGAGATCAAATTCAAGAATTTTGCTCCGTGTGATGTATCAAGATGCTTACAACTGTCGATAACCTTGCTCTAGTTAAGTTCATATAAATTCATGATTATTGTTGCTTTCAATTAAACAATGACAATAATATATCAAATACTTTAGTTTCTTACAGTATTCATTACGCAATTGAAGGTTGAATCTGGGAAATTAGTGCTTGAAGAAGCAGAATTTGACTTGGGGCGAGAACTTGAAGGACTCGTGGATATGTTTTCAGTGCAATGCATAAACCACAAAGTGGAGATCATACTAGATCTTTCTGGTATGCCTTTAAACTTTTTACTTGAAGCTCCCAGTAATCGCAATTTTAGAAATTTGAAAAGGAAAATGAAAACTTGAAAGCAATACGTGTATTGAGCTATTTCATCTTGCACGCATGAAGTTTTTATTGGAATTTGCTAGCTACTCTGAAATTTAATTAATCTAAGATACAAGAAAAAATAATTAGACCAAAAGCAAAGTGACCGAGTTACAACCTAAATACCAGGATGTCATAAATGTTTCTGGCATAAAGAAATAACTATTCAGGTAGGTCCTGCGAGTTTCTTCTAGTTGAATCACATGTTATTCTTCTACAAGAATGAGTGCATATGTTAGGATCTGCAGAATGCCCTATTATAAAACTTATTGTAAGAATTTGCATGGACGACAAGTTGATAACTACTTGTAGTCCAGTTCTCATTAATTTAAATATCCCCGACATGGCCCAATATATCCTTTTACAATGCTAGTTGCTACAATATGGTCTAAATATCCTTTACTGCTTTTTGACTATATTTGGGCAATATATCCCCAACATAATTTGAATTACTATTTACTACTATTTGGTAGTCTGATTTACAAGATGCATTTTCCAATTTGAATCTGTCTAATCTGTATTTTTCTTTTTTGTAGATGACCTACCACATACGGTTAAAGGAGACTCTGCTAGAATTATCCAGATATTTACAAATCTTATTAGCAATTCAATCAAGTTCACACCGGGTAAACACTTATTTTATGCATTAGCTTGTATCACCGTATGTCACATAATATAAAGAGAAATACATAATTACTGCAAGAAATTTAGCCTAGGTCGTCCGTTTAGCGAAGAAGACATTTTACTAATAATAGATTGCCTTACATGACACAGAAAGGAAATCAATTTTCAATTTCATAGCTGTCACATGTGTCCTTTAATGGATGTTGTAGAGAAATAGAAAAGGCAAAGATATGATTCATCTAAACCTAACCTCTCTTAAATATATATTAGGAGGATTACATAAGCGGGTATGGATATTGCCCAATTACCCAAATAGATATTAGGAGGGTTACATAAGTGGGTATGGATATTGCTCAATTACCCAAATACTTAAATATCTAAACATTTAATAACATCTAACAGATGCATATTATTTGACCCAAATACTTAAATATCTAAACATTTAATAACATCTAACAGATGCATATCATTCAAAAGATTAATAGTACGAAACGATAGTTCCAGGAAAGCCTGTGGCTGCGGGTTTAATAACAAAATGGAATTTGAAATGCACAAGCATGGTAACTAAATCTAACTGCTTTTTGACTATATTTGGGCAATATATCCCCAACATAATTTGAATTACTATTTACTACTATTTGGTAGTCTGATTTACAAGATGCATTTTCCAATTTGAATCTGTCTAATCTGTATTTTTCTTTTTTGTAGATGACCTACCACATACGGTTAAAGGAGACTCTGCTAGAATTATCCAGATATTTACAAATCTTATTAGCAATTCAATCAAGTTCACACCGGGTAAACACTTATTTTATGCATTAGCTTGTATCACCGTATGTCACATAATATAAAGAGAAATACATAATTACTGCAAGAAATTTAGCCTAGGTCGTCCGTTTAGCGAAGAAGACATTTTACTAATAATAGATTGCCTTACATGACACAGAAAGGAAATCAATTTTCAATTTCATAGCTGTCACATGTGTCCTTTAATGGATGTTGTAGAGAAATAGAAAAGGCAAAGATATGATTCATCTAAACCTAACCTCTCTTAAATATATATTAGGAGGATTACATAAGCGGGTATGGATATTGCCCAATTACCCAAATAGATATTAGGAGGGTTACATAAGTGGGTATGGATATTGCTCAATTACCCAAATACTTAAATATCTAAACATTTAATAACATCTAACAGATGCATATTATTTGACCCAAATACTTAAATATCTAAACATTTAATAACATCTAACAGATGCATATCATTCAAAAGATTAATAGTACGAAACGATAGTTCCAGGAAAGCCTGTGGCTGCGGGTTTAATAACAAAATGGAATTTGAAATGCACAAGCATGGTAACTAAATCTAAAGTTGCAGTATTTTTTTAAGGACAAATTTTCAAAACATTCCTATTTGGACATTTAATTCTAAAAACCAACCTATTTGGAATTTATTTGCAAAAACCGACCTGGTTTCAGTCCTAGGGCTGAAACCAGGTCGGTTTTTGCAAAAAAAAATTTCCAAACTTCACGAGAGTTGAACTCCCGTAAAGATTCAAAACTCAAAAATTTTTTAAGTCCCATGAATCTCGTCTCCCTCACCGACTGCTCCTCCCTCTCCTTCCTCTCCTCCGCCCTCCTCTCCCTCTCCTCCCTCGTCTCCCTCTCGGCCTCGATCAAGATCCTCCACCAAGAGATCCAAGTCTTGCGCCACGATCGATCGGAGCTCCAGCGCGCCTCGACGAGGTGCTCACCCAAATGGAGAAGTCGGAGGTCGAAAGTAAGGCGCTCGCCGCCCATGCGTCGTACCTCGAAGGCGAGCTCACTCGCACGAAAGATGATCTCTCTTCGACGTCTTCGGCGGTAAGGAGACGGAGATCGAGGTGAATAGGCTTCGATCGGAGGCCAAGAAGCTTGAGGCGAAGGTTGTGGATCTTGATGCGGAGAGGGAGAGGAAGGAGACGAAGATTAGGGATTTGAAGGACGAGGTCAAGGTTTCTGATGAGAGGAGAGCGATAGCAGAAGGATATCTGAAGGAGAGGTCGGTTTTTTGAGTTATGAAACTTCACAGGAGTCCAACTCCCGTGAAGTTTAGCAGCTTAACAAAA